AGTTTTTCACAGTGCATACGAATCATAATAAATCAAGATTCTTTCAATCAAAAGTTCACTGACTTTAAATAACCCTGATTTCGATTTTGCTTCTTTTCCATTTTTAACAGGTTTACTTTTAGAAAGTAATCAACTATGCAGTTTTAAACGATGTAAAATGCTAATCAGAGTTGTTTTTGCAGCTGTTAAAATTCACTGATAAGTGAAAAGAAGTCGAAAACTAAAGTGAAAGAACTTGGTTGCAAACGATTTTAAAGTTAACAAATGTATCTACCTTGTTTGTGTAGAAATCGAGTGAATCGAGTGAATCGAGTGAATTAAAAATTGAAATTTGTTTATTTACTTATTTTCTTTTCAATTCATGTTTTATGAATGCAAGGAATTTAAATACGAAGACACTATACTTAAAACATTTGAGGGTACTCGAATTAGCTTTAGAGACTGCAACATGGAGAGGAATATCCGGAATAAATTCTATCTTACACTAGAATCTTTAAAGCCTTCATTTATATCAAATAATCTGACATTTTTTTTCCTAGGGGACAGGATATTCAAGTCCCTTGAAAGCATAAAATGTGTGTGTTTGTGTGTGAGTTGAGCGGCTGCATCTTATCTCGGAGTATACTCAGCTCACTATTACCTGCACGCCATTTATATATAACATTGGTATTTTATTCTTCTTCTTCCATCCTCAAAGAAGTTCCATACTCGGTATAACCACACTGACCTCAATGCATCTCTTCTTTGCTCTGGATTCTAAAGAATGTTGCACAAATAATTACAATAATTTTTCGTCGAGTACAGCACTATTCTCAAATACCGTCACACCCACGACAAAATACACACAATACGATTCTTTCAATATCTTATATAATTATTTTTCCTCACACACCAGGCTCTGTGATTATTAAATTCCTTTCAGGTATATGTCCATATTAGGAGACAACTTAAAATACATTTAATTAAAGAAAAATTTTTATTCATTTGAAAACATTTTTTAATTATATTTACAAGACTTCAAATTGATTTTAACGTATAACGTGTTTTAATAATAAATCAGGGTTGCCACAAAAATTAAATTTTTTTCTTCCCCGACATTTCCTCTACAATTTTTAAATACAATTCTTCTTTAAATCAATTACTATAGCAACAAATCGCGCGGCTAACTTCTTACTGCCTTTTTTAAATAAAATTACCAATTTTAAAAATAATAAAATTTGAAAATTTAAATTTTTGTTGAAAATACTAAAAAAATTCTATTTTGTAAAATTTAAAAATAATTGCAAAAATTCTTTTAAAAAAATAAAATTCTTCTTATTAAATTCAACTATGTTCAAATCTTGAATAAAATTTTCGTGAAAATCCTAATTATCTTTATAAATAACAAAATTCTTCTCCAAAGTTCAATTATTTTCAGAAATTTTTCTAATTTTAATGATTTTCAATATCTACGATTTTAATAAAATATTTTCCAAAACGAATTCAATTATTTAAAAAAAAATTTAATTTGAAATTTTAGAAAATGACAATTTTGAATGAATGAATTAAATAATAAAAATTTCAGAGGAATTCTATTATTTACAAATTTTTTATAAATTTTTTCGCAATAATTCAATTATTTAACAAAAAAATTAATAAAAGTTCTTCATAAGAATTCAATTATTTTTGAAAATTTTAATAAAATTCGTTGCAAAAATTCAATTATTTTAAAAAAGTTTGATAAAATTCTTCGAATCACTTCAATTATTTAAAAAAATTTTGAAAAAATATATCTAAAGAAAAAAGAATTCAAAAGAATTCAATTATAAAAAATTTTATTGAAACTCTGCGCAAACATTTAATTATATTCATAAAATAATTAAAATTTTTTTAGATTTTTTGAAAATAATTTAATTTTGTCGAAGAAATTGATGAATTTTGAAAATAATTGAATTCTTATGATGAATATTGTTAACTTAGTGATTAATTCGCTCTTTTATACACCTCTTTTCCTAAGTTGGTAAACGTTACCAAACTTAGGAATATTTATCTCACTTTTCATTTTACTTTTACTTTTAGACAAAAACTTGGTATTTAGACTTTATTTCCAGTAAATATGCCCTCACGCATAAAAACTGTAAAATCTCCTAATTGCAAGCATAAAACGACAAATTGCTCTCTTATTGAAAATATATTTCTAAATTATATTATATATAATTATACTTTCCTTTTTTATCAACTCCCAAATTATTGTTATTATCTATTTTATTAATTTTTAATACGAAACAATTTTTTCGTTTCTTTTATAGTTAATGCGTAAAATTTTAAAAATTGTTTTCTTTCTGATGAAAAATTCGTTTAATTATTATAACCTTTGTGAATGAAGAAAACTGGTTTTCTTAAATTTTTTTAAATTCTTTTACAATGTGTATAAGAAAACACTCATTGCTCTAAAAATGAAAAAATCTTAAATGCTTTGTAAATGCACTTGTCCTATAAAATAGACGCTTAATTAGTAATGTTCTCAATTAGAGTTGCACAACTCACACGTTTCTTATATACAAATAAAAATGTTCATCTCGAGATTCCACTTTCTAGTAATTATATTCAATTGTATTGTTAGTTAACATGACAAATATTCAATCGATGTACTTTTTTCGGTGAAAATAATAAATACTACCTGAGGATAAAGCACATTACCGCAAAAATATACAAATATATGACATTCATTGTCGAGTCTGTAGGAACCGATTCGAATGTTAAATTATTTATTACTTAAAATTTAAAAAAAAGGCTTACAACTATTTTACAATTATTTACGGTAAGTTCATCAAAGTGTTATCTTTACAATTTTTTTAAGGACAATTACTCCCAACTAGTTCAAGGTGTGCACTGATTATGGAATTCCAGTGTGATTTGGATCAAACGATTTAAGGGAATATGATACATTATGATGTCACCTATTGAGATATTTAAAATATATTTTTCTATTCAAGTGCAGAAATAGTTTAAACACATTTAAAGGAAAAATACATTACTTTATACATCTGACAAAAAACTACACTCAGGGAAAAAATTCATTTCACTTAACTAAACTGATGAATTAACCCATTTTATTTGTTATAAAAAATATGAAAAAGTCACTTGTTTGCCTCATAAACTATGAAATTAGCACCAATTCTAAAAAAGAAATTCAACTTTTTCTATTTCTGACAATAATTTCTTTTTAAATAAATTATTTCTTGAAGAACCATCATAAAATTTTATAACTTGTAAATTATTTAATAATTAATTTTACTTCAATATTTCAAAATGAATTCAATTTTAAAAAAGTTGCGTTTAAAATTTACATAAATAGATGAACTTCAAAAGATTTTAATTTGAAATTTTTAAAAATTGCAATTTTCAATGATTTTAATTACAAATTTTAACAACCTTAGATTTTTGAAAAATTATAATTCAAATTGGTTAAATTTTTTTAAATTTAATCAATTATTCAAAATAATATATTTATAGAAGAATTTTTGTTAAAAACAGTAAAAAAAAATTGAATTTGGAAGAAGTTACAAATGATTGTAAAAATTCAATTATTTTCAAAGATTTTAATAAAATTCTACTCAAATATTTAATTATTTTCAAAAATAATAAAATATTCACAGAAATTCTATTATTTACACGTTTTTTTTTATAAATTTCTTCGCAATAATTCAATTCTTTTTGAGAATTGAATTATTTTTATAAGTAATATAAAAGTCATCGCAAAATTTCAATTAATTTTAATACTATTGTAATCGAATTGAATATATTACTTCCTCATAGAGGAAGTATTGTAATACCAAAATTTTTCGAGTTTGATTTTTTGACATATCTTTATGTTATTTGACCTCAGGAGTTCAAAAATGACATTTTTAAAAAATGTCATTCCGTATGTGTGTGTGTGTGTGTGTGTAAACATCACATTTTCATAAATATCTCGAAATTATGAAGAGCTTTTGGGTTGAATTTTTTTTTAAATTGTATATCTCACCTGCGGACATAAAATGAGAGTGCTTTCTAATATATTAATAAAGTTTAACTAAATTTTTTTTTTATTTTTAATTTTGCAAAAAAACGTTTTTCGCCCATAACTTGAAAAAAAATGTTAGGACACCTATTAATGTTTTTCCATAATTTTGTAGAGTTTTTTAGACGCATCTTTTGAGCCCTAATTGAACATTTTTCGTCCATATTAACCGGAGATATTAAACTTTTAAAAATTCAAAATTTTGGAAAATAAAACTTTTTTGAAAATTTTGTTGAAAAATGTAGAAGTAATCTTAAAATTATCGTTACCGACTTGTAGAGCTTCAAAAAACGCTTCGATTGACCTATTTTTGAACCTAATTCGATAATAAATTTCGAAATTATTGGTATTTTAAAAACCAAAAATTGTGGAAAATGACATTTTCTCAACTTTTTTGTTTGAAAACTTTTGTTTAACTATTAAACTATTATAACTATATTGTAGAGTATTTAAAAATACATTGATTAACCCAAAATTCAATCACTTTTACCATATTTATAAAAAGTTATTCATATATTTTCCTATTATTATTATTATTATTATTATTATTATTATTATTATTATTATCTCTATGTGGAAGTAAAGTGTTCATGAAATGAGCACCAAAATTATAAAAAAAATATACAACTTGGCAGTGGTTTTTATTTTTGTAGATATGAATAAATGAATTCTCGTAAAATTTTCTAATAAAAATTGATTTAAATATGAGTTTTAGTTAAAAACACTAAAATAATTGAATTTTAATGAAAAGTTACAAATTAAAGCTAAAGAATTCAATTATTTTCGAAAATTTTAATAAAATTCTTGTCAAGAATTCAATTACCTTTGAAGCGATGCAGTTGCTCCTGGCAAATGTGACCGGTCCAACTTCCAAGTATTCTTTTAAATTATTATAATTTCCGTGTCCTCTAATATTCGGACAGTGGTGGGGGTTTAGTGTTGAATTGAGAAGTCGATGAAGAGTGTGATCAATTGATTAATTAATTGACTTTTGCAATTCGTCGACACCGGTTCAACAACGGCTACGCTCTCACGTGCCGGCCGAGGACACGGAAGGTAGTTTTTCTTTTAAATTGAAACTTGTTTAAATTTTAGTGTATTATTTTTTGGTTTATAAAATATTGTTTTTTTTTTTGTGTTTAAAATAAAGTGTGGCCGTTTTTGACCATCAAATAATAAGGGAATAATAAGATGACGATTATGAATTCTATAAGTGGAATGTTGTGAAGACTTGGAAGTTGGGACTGATCGGAAAGCCTACTTGCTCCTCCACAGGATGATTACTATTAACATTTTCTACTGTGTGGGTAACTCGTAAGTGCTCGATTTTATTTAAAGTGCTCCTGATAATTTCAGGTGCACAAATCTATAAATGTCATCATATAAAAGGAAACAAAATATTATTCAAATGTATGTTCGATGGTTGAATAAGAGAGAGTGAATCTAGTCGTGCGGCGAATTGCGGATTCTTGATTTTAATTGTTTTTTTTTGTTTCTAATTTATTATTTGTTGTTTTTATTATTGTATTTTTTCGTGAATGATTTCTTTATACATTTTAATTTGGATGTGCGTATGTTTTTGATTGATTTATATTTATTCTTATGTATCTTGTATAAATTCCTGACGTCAGGCCTTTTTTATTTTGATTTTGACTGAAATATAATTTTTATTTCTTTCTGTAAATTGTTTGTATGTTTATTTATATCGTGTCTTTTGTATTTTCAATGTCATTTGATTATTTTATTCGTTTATTTGCAATATTTTATTTTATCATTTTGTATATTTTTGTAAATTTTATTGTCGCGGTTTTTATTTATTTCCTCAAATAGTAAAAAATCGTTACACCTTCATAAATAATTAAATTCTTCTTAAAAATTCAATTATTTTAATATAATTCCACAAAATTGTTTATAAGAATTCAATTATTTTTAATACAATTTTAATTAAATTCCTTTAAAGATTTTATTGATTTTTTCAAACATTTTTAATACAATATTATTTGCAGAAATTCAATTATTTTCATAAAAAACAATATTGTTCAGAGAAAGTCGATTTATTAAAAAAAATTTTAATAAAATTCCTGGCAAGAATTTATAAATATTCATCAATAATTAAATTCTTTGCAAAAAGTCAATTATACTTTAAAATGTTATTAAAAATTAAAATTCTGTGAAAGAATTGAATTATTTCTATTTTTAATATAATTTCAATCGAATTCCTCGAGAAATGTAATTATTCTTAAAATTTTTATTAAAATTCGTCGAAAGAAGTCAATTACTTAAATATTTGTTGATAAAATTCTTTATGAGAAATCAATTTTCAAAAACATTAAATAAAAAAATTATTTCTTTTTGTACTTATTTAAATAATTAAATTCTCGTAGAATTTTCTAATAAAAATTGATTCAAAAATAAATTTCAGTTAGAATTTTAGATATAATAATTGAATATTAAAAGCATTTCTACAACGTGAATTTTTAGAAATAATTGAATTTTTAAAAAGTTTCAAATTAAAATCTTTGAGAATTTGAATTTTTTATACGTTTAACTAAACACTTCTGTAAAATTAATTTTTTTTAAAAAGTTTAATTGAATTTTTTTGAAATTATTTAATGTTTTTATTTTCTAATATACAATTGAAGAATTTTTGAATAATCAATGAAATTTCGTAAAATTGAATTGTAAACAAATGGATTAGAAAATTGTCAAAGGATTTTTTTAAAATTATAAAAAATAATTGATTTAGAGAAAAATTATACACGGAGAAAATTTATTCCTGAAATTTTACTGAATTTAGTTCGGTAAAACTGGGATGAAGTGTCAAAACAGTAATTTTTCAAGAACTAGACTGTAAAAGAAATTGCATTGAAAAATAATGTAAAAATCATAAAGCTCACGATACATGTATTAGCGCTTCAGTTACAGTTCGGTAAAACGTAAGCCAAGTGCTCGCTACATTCATATTTATTGAATAGTTCGGTAAAACGTAAGATAAAGTCTTCGGTAAAACTGACGAGTTGCAATTTATTGAATAGTTCGGTAAAACGTAAGATAAAGTCTTCGGTAAAACTGACGAGTTGCAATTTACTGAAAGTTCGGTAAAACTTGAAGAACAAAAATAAAAAATAATGTTACTTCAGTAGATCTATATTAATACTGCCGTAACTCTCAATTTACCTACTTTAATCACTACCTAAACCCCCTACAATTGTTTACGAACAAATACTAATTGATACACCTGCCTACAGTACATTCTAAACGCATACACTAATACACACATCGCACGCTTTACATTAATGCTTCAGAAAGTTTCAACTGTCCTTATATATTAATCTCAATTTTATTTCACCGCTTGTGAGAAAGATTCAAATTAATAATCTATCGTTGTACAAAATTAAAAATTATTTATATTAATGAATCATTTCTAACTATATTCAAGGTCAATTTATGAAATATTTTTAAATTATGTTTTTATTATTATAAAGAAAAATGTTTAAATTTGTATTTAATGGAATAAAACAATAATTTATGAAAATCCTTATTATTTTCAAATTTTTGTGTTTAAAATTAAAAATATACATATTAAAAGTGCAAGTTGGAAATTATTAAATTAATTAATAGAAAATTAATCTTTCTGAAATATTAAATAATAATTGTGAGGTATTAAAAAGCGAAAAGGAAATAAGCAAGTAAGCAAATAAGGAATAAAGTAAGCAAGAAGGAAATAAGCAAGTAAGAAAGTAAGCAAATCAGAAAGTAAGTAATCAAGAAGGAAATGAGCAAGTAAGCAAAGTAAGCAAGGCGGAAATAAGCAAGTAAGCAAAGTAAGCAAGAAGGAAATAAGAAAGTAAGCAAGCATATAAGGAAGTAAGTAAGCAAAAAGGAAGCAAGCAAGTAAGCAAGAAGGAAATAAGCAAGTAAGAAAGTAAGCAAATAAGAAAGTAAGTAATCAAGAAGGAAATAAGCAAGTAAGAAAAGTAAGCAAGGAGGAAATAAGCAAGTAAGCAAAGTAAGCAAGTAAGCAAAGTAAGTAAGAAGGAAATAAGAAAGTAAGCAAGTAAGCATATAAGAAAGTAAGTAAGCAGAAAGGAAACAAGCAAGTAAGCAAGAAGGAAATTAGGAAGTAAGCAAGAAAGAAATAAGCAAGTAAGCAAAGTAAGCAAGAAAGAAATAAGCAAGTAAGCAAAGTAAGCAAGAAAGAAATAAGCAAGTAAGCAAAGTAAGCAAGAAAGAAATAAGCAAGTAAGCAAAGTAAGCAAGAATGAAATAAGAAAGTAAGCAAGTAAGCATATAAGGAAGTAAGTAAGCAGAAAGAAAACAAGCAAGTTAGCAAGAAGGAAATTAGGAAGTAAGCAAATAAGTAGGTAAGCAAGTAAGCAAGAAAGAAATAAGCAAGTAAGCAAAGTAAGCAAGAAGGAAAGTAAGCTAGTAAGCAAGCAAGTTATTTCCTTTTTGCTTACTTGCTTACCTACTTATTTACTTACTTACATACTTACTTATATGTTTAATTGCTTACTTATTTATTTCCTTTTTGCTTACTTACTTATGTTTATTTGCTTACTTACTTACTATTATTCATATTTAATTAAAATGAATAAATTATATGTTAAAAAAATAAGTATGTTATTGCCATTTTATATTTTCTTTTTACTTGATTTAAAAGCATTTATTACATATTTGGCAATTAATAAGTGTTTAAAATAATTAATTAATTGAATTTTAATTTAAATAATAATAAAATGATTATTAATTAAGTCTAAATAAGTTGGAAAAATCAACTATTAGTGTGAAAGTCTTTCATTTGACTGCGGGACACTTGAAATAAAGTATTTTAATCCAGAAAACTAAAACTTTAGGCAAGTCAAGGAAGTTTTACCGAACTATTCCTGAAAACTAACACTTTAGGCAAGTCAAGAAAGTTTTACCGAACTATTCCTGAAACGTTAGTGCCCATCAAGGAGGTATTTATTTAATTTACATTAAACGTTCAGTTTCAATTTTTTTTCAACTTTTACAGTACTAGTTCTTAAGGAATAAAGATATCACATTAGATTTTAAATATTGTTACCGAAAAAATAATATAAAAATTATTAAAAATTACGATTATGCTACTATATCCCAACTTTATTGAAAAATTCGGTAAAATATAGGGAACAAATTTTCTCCGTGTAGTTAAAAATTGTAAAAAATAAGAATTGAATTGAAATGATGAAAAGAATTTTGAGGAAGTAACAGTAACAATATTCTTATAATATAAACGTGTTTTATATAATAATAATATTCTTCTAAGTTGTTGAATTTTAAAAAAGTTTGAATTTGAATATTTTGAAGAATATTAATTCCTATGGAAAAATAATAATGATTAAATATTCATCATTTGAAAAAAATTATTGATGTTTTCGAACAATTTTACAATTAAAGAAATTAGCAAATAAAAATATTAGAACATTTTTCTGATTCTCTTATAATTTTTGTAGTGAATCAGAATATCCTTTATGTTGAGGGAAAAAGTGAAAATTTTGTCTGGAAATCAGGGAAAAACAAATAAAAAAAATAAAAAAATAAAAAGGTTTTCTTTAATTTTATTTCTATCGACTTATGTTCTTTAACTTTTTACCGTCTAGGGAAGTTTGTAATCTGATTATGTAATAAATGGAGTATTTACAATCTTTATTTCTTAATTGTACTTTGTATTGATATATACTGTATAGATAAGAGTTACAAGAGTTGCATGCAAAGGGTATCGAACACTAGACCCTAAAGAGCCTCAATACAATCATTATCTGCCTTAACTTTATTGTTACTCCAATTAAATATGCATTCAATTGCTGTTAAATACGTTTTTTAAAATAACAATAAGTTGAATCATTAGAGCAGGAAACAACTGAAAAATTATTTTTTTCCAATATCTAACAAATACTTATTCATATTTCCAATTCAATGGTGACTACATAATTTTTATTTTCTATAAAGATGACAATATTATTTATTTATTTATTTTTCAATGTATAAATTTAAATCTTCGTGTGAAACAAGTTTCAGAATTGAATCACCAAATAATTATAGAATCTATTATATCACGTTTTATAATTAATATTCAATAATAAATGTTTCCTAGATGTGTATACACTTATATTTAAAGAAAGCTTTCAAGTATGACACTATTTTCAAGGATCGAATTGAAAACAGTTAAACAGTTTCCTTTCCAGTGTCTTACTGTATGTGCGGTTTCATGCAATTTCTTCCTAATAGATTTGTACTTGCGTTGTAAAAATTCAAGTTTTTATTTGAAAAAGTGATTTTAATCTTCTAAAGTATTTTTCTTTACGTATAAAAATCGACATGAAAGAAAAAAATTAGAGTAGTTTTTTCTATGGTGTTATGAAAGTTATGTTGCAATTTTTTATGGTCTTCTTTTTGAATCGATATAAATTTACGGAAACTTACAACCAGATGACTTTTACGAGCAATGGTTTAAGCTGAGGAATTTATTTTGGTAGTGTAGGCGTAAGTTTCTTCTTCCCGGTTAAAATTTGAAGGTGAATAATTTATGTCCTACTCATCTGGTGGAAGAAAAAGAAAAATGGGAACTCTTAGTTTTCAACCCGCTATAACCACACTTATTTAAATATGAAATATATACAAATGTGTTATAAAGACAGATCCACTTTAGGTTTTGTATTC